AAAGACAGGCAAACACAGACCGGCCTTCAACATATCCAAGGCCCAATCGGACCCAGACTCCTTTTCACCTGCGGCCACAGCACAAAGCATTCGCAAGATTGGGCTGATGTTCATGCAAATAATTCTGCAGGCTGTCAGCATTGAGTCCCAGCGATGGGCAGCATAGTTAGTGGAATTGCCGGTCAGCTTTCCTGTGATGGATACAAGCTGCTGCATTTCCTCCAGCTGTGATTTTCGAAAAAGAGCTGACATCTTCCCCCACTTCAAGGCACGCGCAAGAGAACCTGGACTGCTGTCACTGCTGCTCATTGTGACAACCTTCTCCAGCAACTGCTGCACAGTTGTGACCTTCGTCATGGAATTCTCAAGGACCTTCTGCCCCCCATGGGCCATGCAGCGAAACGTCATTCGCAGCATTGGCGCAATCTTTGACTCCTGGCTTTGAATCATTCAAAATTCCATGTGAATCCTGAATCCCAATGTCCCACAACTCTAACTTAAGCAACAATTTAGCGGAACCATAATCAGAAGTCAAGATTCTCTGGCCAGCCGAGGGCAAAGTTGCTCAGCAGGCTCCCCGTCAGCACTGAATACCTTACCAACAGACTTTGACTCACTGTGCAGCTGATTGAACTTTATCATTGTTGTTATTGTTATTCATTCAAATTAAGTGGCGCACCTGGATCAACTTCCGAAGGTTTTTCACCCTTTCGGAGTTAGAATTGCACCAGTCTACCATAGTTTCTTCCATCTGCTGCATCTTGAAATAAGCGGTCTGATCATGCAAGTTGGGAAGTGAACACATTGCCACTAATAATAGAATCAGAGGCGAGTTCCCAATGCAACGCAAACTAGTGACTTTTTGTGACGCTAAATGATGGGCCTTGTCGCCATTGATATGTCTCAGGTCTATGAACTTGCGGTGGACTGTATAGTCGTCCAGAACAATCTTCCATTTGACCAGATTGTAGTCTCCACACACGTCCTGCGGAAAGGCGTTACAATGGACCAGTCACAGTCAGAGACACAATAACTGCTCAGAATGCGTGCATGAACTACTACAGACTTAGACTACACAAAGACTGCGCAATGCTGCCAACGTCGGCCAACGTAACACGACCTCGGCCCAACCAATGGACTTGATCTTGCCCTTGTCCAGCCACTCGGAATCATAAAAATACCTGAGTCGGTCAATCCAATTGCAACATATCGCAACTAGCTGCTACACAATGACAGCAATGACAGTGACAGTGTTAAACCTTATAGACTTACTGTTTAGTTTTATTAAGGTCAAAGTCTAGCGGGTGTTACCAAGCTGCAAGACTGTTGCAATGCTTTTGACAATCCTGGAGTGAGTATCTCTGGTGTTGAAGGATCCCGGAAAGTTCCTCTGGTCAGATCTGGCTGCCAACATAGCCTTGCGTTCGTATTCCAATGACTGTGCTCCCAGCGGTGTTCGGGCAACCTCAATGGAAAGCCTAATCTGCGCAGCTGTTGGAACAAGGGAATTCTGTGGCCAATGTCCACCATCACCTGGAACTGCTGGCCCTGGTCCTTGTCCTTGACTTCTCATTAAAGCTTGATGCAAAGCAGTTTTGGCATGTCTCTTGAGGTCTTCTATCTGTAGGACATTTGCTGGCGAAGAGCCGACGGTGTACTCTGTCCAGGACGTACCCTTCTTTTGGGAACTCTCCGCACTGGCACAAACCTTGCACCCAAGCCCCCACGTCGGCCCAGAAGGAGCCTCCACCAGAAAGGGGCAAGCCCTGATCCAGCGAGGTCTGTTCTTCATCCACTTGCACCGATTGCAATTCTTCACAGCTGATTTTCCACAGCCGTGTCTTGCAACACACGAGGCAGCATGAGCGTCTTCAGATGCGTAGGTGCGCATGTTGGAAAGGAATTGGGAACTTTACACATCTGTCATCTGTTTGTCTGTCTGTCTGTCTGTCCGTCTGTCTGTCTATCTGTTTAGTTTGCCTGCTACAAGTCTGTCTGTTCTGACACATGACATTGACAAAATGACATTGAAACTTGATGAACCGCGTCAGCTTTAAAGTCACACACGTTGACGAATGTTGACGACACTGAATGACGCTGACAAGTGTGCAAAACCACTTTGCATGCTTATTATTTACTTCGCTGCACAAATTAGGCTTTCCACTGAGGTTCCTGGCATTTTAAGTCCTTCGCACAGCCTGCAGTGTCAAGTCAAGGAGCTGCAATCAAGAACAACTCCTTCACATCGAATTTCTGGCCCGCTCAATCAAGCAGCCTGCTGATATCAGTCCAATCCTGCCAGCGGACAATATTCATTAAAACGCTTGCCAAAGTGGCCCATCCTCCTGAATCTGACTAACTAAGACTGACAATGTCTGACTGATTTCAACCAAATGATCCAGCAAAAACCCAGCCTTGCCCTGACATGTCTTCCAATAGTCAGGCGGTTGAGACGCGACAAGGTTGGCAGAAAACAATAGGTTCCGCAGCAATCGTTCCAGCACGCAGCATGACACACTATTTCCAAGCGCATGACCCACAGTAGAGCTTGGAGATGATTCTATAAACCTATGAGCCAAAGATCGTGGCACTCCTCCGGCCCAAGACAATTGACGCGGGCAAAAACGCTTTGTCATTTTACAACAATCTGAGTAACAATCTGACTTTGGCTCTGACACCCCGCCAGTCCTTGAAGGTGACTGAGTTCCACAATTGTCAGCTTCTGCTTTCTCCAGGGACAATACCAGGCTTGACTCTTGCCACGGCTTGATGTAAGACAGGGACTTGCTTCCCAAGCGACTCTTTGATGACCGTGGCCAGCACCAGTATCAACAATTGTCGGGAAAGTTCGAACACGGTCCTCACCATAGACAGAGATCGCCTCAACAATCGACATGGCATGAAATGAGCCGGGTTGCTTGCGCAAACATACTTTCAAGAGTACTTTCAAGTGCAACCCTAAGCCCAGCCACAGATGCAAGATTACTCTTGAAGGTATCGCAAACTTCAGATTCATTGATGATTGCCTCTCCTGCCACTGGATCATGCTCGAGAAAATGATGAAGTGATGCCTGCAGGACGATCAGAGCAGAATCAAAGACAAAGAACTTAACACATGTCTGTATCAGTCGTATTCAATTCTTTACTTTAAATCTTCTAATAGAAGTGGAAGCTTGGCTCCTGCCTCTGGCAAATCTTCTGGCCAAATGTTATCAAGATCAAAACTTGGGTTCAAGCTGTCCAATCTCACAGCAATGAGAAAGAACCTCTCTCTTCTCTGAGGTAAGCCGTGGAACGATGTGCGCAAGATCTTCGTTCGTACAGCCTGGCAACATGAAGCAGTCATTGGCATGCGCCTTTGCGCCCACCGAGTCTGAGAGCGTGACATACCCGGCCATCCGCAAGATGTGGCAGGCATCGTGCACTGCTTCCACGTGGGGCTTCAGGCTGATGCCTTTCACGTTCTCAGCCAAGAACGCCTCATGCAAGGTTTAAATAGTAACTCCCAACAAGTTGATTTCATACAAAATGGTACGCACATCCCTGCTGAGCTTTTAGCGCGTGGGGACTCTTGGACCACCTTGCGGATGCTCTCCACAAAAAGGCTGCCAGTATTGCCCCTCAGTCCTGGACAAATCACGGCAGTTCCAGGGCCCCCAAAACCACTCACACAGTGACCCATACCCATTTGAATGTCCAACGCAAAGTCCTTGTCCACGGCCAGCTATTGAAAAATCAATGCATGGACTCGCGCTGACATAGAGATGGTGGTCCATGGTCGATCGAGTGAGCATGTCGGCAAAGAGATTCTTGGGGGTCTTCGTCACGTAATCATGAGTGCACTTCATCAATTCTTGAACCCGTGCGTCTATCTCTGAGACCGCCTCGATCTCAAATGCCACACCCAAGTTGTGAAGCGTCAAGGCCTAAAAGGACATATTCTTGATTGCTTGCTCGAAAGGCTGTATGACATAAGTGAATGCATCTGCTGAGTGCAAAGCCGTTGAATCAAACCCTATGCAGTCACCGGTGTATCGAATCACCTTTGGAACTTTGCGCCTCAGCTGCCATTGACAATGATTAGAATCATCTGACATATGACATATGACACCATCGGCGCTGACTTGACACATCACCTTCAATCAAAATCTGTAGTAGGCACCTGACACCCCGGGCCTCAGTTTCTTCCTGGCCTCCATCGCCTGGACAGGATCACAACCACTTTGCATCATTTCAATGTAAAGTAATTGCTTGTCTGCCTCATTTTGAAGAGTATTGAAAATTTGCGAAGTCTTGACCATCGAGCACTGATCCTTGCTGGCAAAGTCATCATCAAGCAAATGACACAGTGCATCTGCAAAGATGGTGAGTGACAAGTCAGTTACGCAACCTGACAATCTGACAACATTGACATTGACATTCAGTCAATGAAATGAAATGACCAAGGCCATGGCAAAATAGGAGGTCTTGACTGAGTCTTGACCATGCGCGCTGTTGATGCAAACCTGACAATGAAATCTATTGGTGGCATGTGGTGCTGAATCTGTTGAGTCGATTATGAAAAGTTGACAATGACTAAGCGCTAAATTTGACATTGAAGAAATAATGACACTGCAATGACAATGACAACACTTGAGTGAAGCAGCCAGCTGTCAAACTTGTGAGTGACGCCACATGAGCAGGAATAGCTGTGAAACAACATATATATGGGCCCCTGGCTGATGGCTGAAGTCGACCTGAACAGACAAAAGCTCAGTCGAGCTAACTCAGCCAGAAACATGATCCAAAATTGACATTATTGAAATGAAAAGTTTGGATTCAGTCTGGATGAGTTCTGTGGCAAAGGCATCTTCCTGGGCAACATGCTGCTGGTTGGCTGCCTGATTCGGTTCGGCGCTCAAACAGTCAATTGGTCACGCAGCATGGCCAAGAAACAATTGAACTGCGTTATTTCATCATTCTGTCTGAGTCTACTTACTGCCACCAACTCCGTTTGCGTTCAGGGAGCAACTTAGTTTTAATAATGGCGCGGCAAAGTGGGCAAGCCCAAGTCCGGAAAAGTCCAGAGAGACATAGTCCTAAGTTCAGTATTATTGGAGTCGTCATTGAAAGTAAAAATATATCAAGACTTATGATCAAATGTCAAGCAAAGTCCGGAATAGTGCAACGGCAGGGTCGAAGTCCGGAAACGTATGATTCCATGACTCATGAATGTATAGCCCAGAGAGGTCCGGCTAAAGGGACATGATGACCTAGTAGGCCAGCCTCTGAGCTTCCGGACTTTACCGGACATAATGTTGTCGCCTTGCGCTTTTTGGCCGGCACCATTACATGTCAACCTCTTGCCAAACCAGGACCAATTGGTTGACGTGTTGAAGCTGTTTGTGACCTCC